ATTATTTTGTTAGATTTAGGTCTCACACCAGTGCTCGTTCCGGCACGACCGAAAGTCTTAGAGCGAATTGATGATCGTCTGCCACGACTGTCGTAGCCTGGTCATAGAAATTATCAGGGCTTCTCGTCTGACCAGATCAGCCCTTAGAAACCACACACTGCGAAATCTCACTTTGGATTTAACGCCCATTTACAATACGGCCGACAACAACACGTAGTTGGGGGTTGCGTTCTAATTATATCTTAATGAAACTAAAATTATGAACATATATAGTTATATTGATACAAGTCTAATTACATAATTACCAACGTTGTCAAATCATGCTCATTATTTTATTTTATATTCGTAAATTATATATATATATATATATATATATATATATATATATATTTGTATGTATGCATGTATGTATGTATGTATATATATAGATTTTTCCATACATTAATACTCACACACATGCATGTGTACACATATACATATAGAAATATACATGTATGAACTTACATATAACTAAACTTACTCAGAAATCCAAATATATTATCTATTATATGCATTTTTACAACAATTTGAACGTTTGGATTATATATTATGCTTAAAGATATTTTATTTGTCAGCTAAACTTCCAACAAACACAAAAAAACACCAGTTTGATTTTCTACAAAAATTAAACAGAGGTGAGAAATCAATTCCTGGAAGGATAATCTGATTTAACTAAAATATTTTTAAGTGTCTTGCAGACAATACAAATACAGTTTTGAAGTCTTAATTTGTTCTGAAGTCAATTTTTCTAAATAGTCTTGAGTGGATCAAAAACTGCATTCAATAAGCCTTACCAGTAAAAAAATTCTTACTTCTAGAAAATACGTAATATACATTAATGTTACCAATAATTAACAGCCAAACCCTATATATTAAAAATACTACATTGAACCATACATTCGCACACAGGAACAGATTTTACATTTGTTTGTATGTCTGTATATATGCATGTATGCATGTTGGGTGTATGTTTATATGTATATGTATATGTATATTTGAGTATTTGTATAGTAAGTATAAAGTGAATGTCTATTGTTTGAGTATGTGAGAGTGGTGTATATCATGTAATACGCATATCAATTTTCGTTTGAGTTTGAGAGTGTGAATTTGGATAGGAGTTTAATCTATTTATATGCTTTATTGTACATAACCAATATTATTTATTTTAGTTTATATTTATTTTATATTTTTAATTTAATTGTTCATTGTAAGTTCTTCATCTTTTCATTTAAATATATTAACCAAACATTCATATGTAAACCGTGTTGTTACAAGCATACAATACAAAAATGTACATATGCATATACACAAAGATACTTTAAGATAAATTCGTATATTATTACGATATGAATATTATATGTAAGTGGTAAGATTACCAACTTATGAGGATGCTTTAGACAACGCCTTTACTCTGATATAAATTATTTAAACGGCATACTTTAATTCTATATACCATTAAAATTTAAGTGATGAGTGTGTATAATTTTTCATAAGAAGTGTGATTAAGTACAGTAAAGTTAGGAAATGATATCAATATAATATCACTAACAGTTTATTCAAGACATATTTATTTGTTTTAATCAGAATTTTGTATATAATTGTTTGATATTGGTGACTCACCTGTATTTGTGTTTTATTAAAATCTCATATAGTCACCAAATTATGTATGTTTAATTATATGTATATGTAATGCACACAAGTACAAAACACAAAATTTATCTTTGAACATACATATACACAAATGTTAGAAATAATATATACGCAGAGTCAAACTATATATGTTATGTTTTATGTAATATTTATTACATGTATGATATATCGCAACACCCAAAATTATTAATCGTTGGCCGCATACACAATCATACAGATACCACCAAATAAGCTAATGCACATTTTCAAAAACTACTAAGACACCCCCACCAGATCCTATATAGTATATATTCTTTTATGTAAGAGGTTATTATATTAATGTTATAAATATATCCAAATAATATTAAGGAAATTAGAAAAATTATAAAAAAATTAAATAGATAAATAAAGAAAGTAATTATATAATCCAGTTGTTTTAGTCTTATTCTTATCATGTAAGCGTACGTATTATTCGAAACTCCAATTAATTTTTATAATTAAACTCCTCATAGGCTTATATTATTTTAAATTGTTCGGTTTGACTATTAGCCCTGTCACCATGCGAAGTTTGATCAATATCCGAGAAAAGTAAACCTGAGCTACTCCTGGTTAGTAAGTTTGTTCTTTGTTTTATTTATAAAATTTATTAGATACAATATAAATGAGGGAATTGAAATGATTGTATTTCTTTGGTATTTAAAACCAACACTGTTGATATGATTTTCATATGAAGAAATAGTTTAAAATTATGCGTTATATTATTATTTAACATTAAAATCACAATATACCAGAATGTTTTGAGAATAATTGAATTTTACCTAGTGTTACTAGATCAAACAATATTAGATGCAAACGTAGTCATTGACTGGAACATTGAAGCATAGTTTTATTGATTTAGTTTTGCATTTATTAACATGCAATTATTTCCACCTGTTTTATTTCATACTGCGACTTATCAAATATCTTACTCATGATTCATATACGTGTGTGTACATTAGTTTTATCGCATTATGATAATCTAGTTTAAACTTATTTTTTATTTCAGATTTGTTTTAAACCAAAATGAATCTGGATGTGATTCAATTATAATTTTGCTGCTGTGGATAAATAGATTAACATTAATGTTTTACTGTGATACAGAAA